CGCCAGCCAGTCCGGCAGCACACGCAGGTAGTTGCCATCACCGGTGAGATAGGTGGCTGGCAGAGTCCAGCTTACGGCACTGCCGGCGGCGGTCAGGACTCCCGAGTTGATGGCGCCGCCACCGGCAGCTGGTGTTGCCCAGCCCAGTCGGGAGATCTCCGCGGCATTAGGGCAGGCGTTTCCGCGGCCCATGGCGGTTGAGTAGTCCTCATATTCTATGTCGTTTGCCCAGGAGTGGAAGAGACCTGCAACGGCACAGGATAGGGATACGGCCGTGATGTGTACGGCTTGACGTGTGGTGACATAGGTGTGGTGACACAGATGTGGTGACACAGGTGTGGTGTGGTGTGGTGTGGTGTGGTGTGGTGTGGTGTGGTGTGGTGTGGTGTGGTGTGGTGTGGTGTGGTGTGGTGTGGTGTGGTGTGGTGTGGTGTGGTGTGGTGTGGTGTGGTGTGGTGTGGTGTGGTGTGGTGTGGTGTGGTGTGGTGTGGTGTAGTGTGTGTGGTGTGTGTGGTGTGGTGTGGTGAGGTGTGCTTTGGGTCGTTTTTTGCCCCTTTGGTGCCCATTCGCACCGTANTTATGGAGGGCCTCCTGCATCACCGTCGCCCATCGTCTGAGCCGTTCGATGATGTCTGTAGCAAGATCTGAGAGCCCGGCACCAGTGCAAGACCCCACCAGACACACGCGGTGATTCCAGGCGGTATCACATAAATGTAGTTTGTGTATGAAGCAAAGGCGGCTATGCCGAGCACCTTTTTCGCAGCATCGTCGCCGTTGTTCGTTATGGACCACCAAGCACACGACGACATCACAGCCGTCGAGCAGTTGGCCTGTACGACAATGGCCTTGAAGGCAGTGGCGTTGATGCTGAACTTGCCATACGAACACTGCGTGTACTTTCGAGCGATACCGCCGGCGCCGGTGCCATCGGCTCCCAAAAAGATAGTACGTGCATCTTCAGGTGTCAACGTGGCCGGCCGGGCACATGCGCTGTAGTTGAGGATGATGACGAGCGGGCGCTGCACCACAGGCCCGTTGGAGCTCGCAGCAGTGGCCTCAGCCGTGACCGTGACGTACGAGCCCGGGACTGGTGAGCACTCGCCGGTTGAGGGAGAGATGATGCACTCCTGCGGGGTGAACGGTGTTGAGGGTCAGCAGGCGTGGTAAAGGAGGCATGGAACGTATGTCCAGGTTGTCCAGCAAGAATCTCAAGGCTGAGACATTTTGTCGGGTTGGCATATCTCATGGACGGTCGGACGGACGGTCGGACGGACGGAGGTCATGGACTGATCGCCAACTAGTACCGCGGAGTCGTTGCGGAGCATCGCCGAGGCCGCTGGGCCGTGGGGGCTAACCAGCGATGTTAGGCAGCTATGCCGTCATCTAGCAATATCTGCCGCAGCCAGTAGAAGCTGTGGGAGCGGGTGACCTCTGGTGATGGCCGCCTAAGTCCATCAGAAGAACACTTCTCGCCCATAAACGGTGATGCTAATATGTATGCTCTCTCCTCATCGACACGTGACGGTTACATTAACGGTGAGCACGACCCCAAGCCATGTCCGGCCCCGGCTACAGCCTTTCTTACGCGCCATGCCGCAGTGTGCTTCCATTAAGAGCCAGACAGCTGTGCGCTAGAGGCGGGCTCTGTTTGGGCGTTCACCACACTTACCACAACCACCACCGCTCCTGCCCCGATTTTCTTTCCATTTGGGTCCGTTTTGGGCATTGAAAAGTTTCGCACGATGGGGGTCAGGCCCCCATCTGCGTCTCGCACCACCCACGCCGCCTTCCCATCATCGATGGCCACGAAGAGAAGATCGCCCGTGATCGTGACTGTGACTGCGGCTGTGGCTGTGGTTGTGGTTGTGGCTGCGACTGTGGCTATGGCTGTGGTTGTATCCGCGATGGCGGCTCCAGCGGCGGATATGTAGCTATCACCCGCAATGTTGTAGCCGTCATAGCTCGTAACGGCAAGGGTGCCTTTATGCAGCGGGGGCATGTCGGGGAGTGTCGACCAAGCGGATGCACAGAGGTTGAGTTGGGGGACGTGACATGCATTGGAGGTTTGGCGGCGGCGGGAAAAGGTTGATGGTGGGTTGGGGAGGGGAGGGGCTGGCTTAAACTGCGGAGAGGGCATGGAAGGGACGGATGCCTGGACCGGGAAGTTGCTTTCACACCCACCATTAATCGCCTGCTGTCGGGTTTGCCGGTTGGTATCGAGTTATTGTAATTGAGACTAACTGCCGGAAGACGAAGGATGAATCACTAAGCAAGTGAAAAGCTGCGTTTTAACAAAAACGTTTCGTTCCCCTTATTTGCTCCCCCTTTTGCCTTGTCTCGCTCGGTTGGCGGCAGGAGACGCGCTGTAAGAAACAGGGGCATTTCCCTTTGCAAGGAGATGAGTGTGGGAGGCTTAAGTGGTCCTTTGGCGGAGTTGCGAGGTACGTGGCGGACTTGATGTCGGGGGTACCTACTTGCTCTGTTTCGTAACGTTGAAAATTCCGAAGTCATGCAAGGCACGCGCGAGCGAGCAGCAGTGTCGCTGCTGATTTTAGGTTTAATATGCTGGTTTGGATGACGCTAGTGGGCTAGGGTAATGGGCTTTCCCAACAGCAAGTCGACATGAGGTTTACCTTGCGTAATGATAAAGAGTACGAACGTTAGAAGCTCCAGCTTCCCCATTGCTCAAATGGAGATGAATAAGAATATCTGACTGTCGAAGAACGCTACTTGGACTAAGAGCTCAGAATGGGGTGAGCCCGAAAGTACCTGTAGCAGCTTGCTCATAAAGCGGCGGCATACCTCGCAAGTCACATTCGCAATTAAGAGAAACGCAACGTTGTAAATGCTGATCAAAGGTACTCGTTAAGCATTTGCTTCTACCCCAGAAAGATACTTCGACGCGCGCTAATACGGTGTTGACACAAACCAGGCAAGGCATGCATGTGTCCGATCCATCCACGCATTTCAGAGTAACGGACAACTCAGGTCAGTTATAAAACCATAAATGAGGCTGCCGTACGGAGTAGGGCGTTCGTTGCAGCTTCCCTCAAACACCTCTAAATATGAACAGCAGGCGTAGCGCACCTAGCTACAGATCCCATTTATAACTGTACAATACTTCCAGATGAAAACGTCTGATAAGAGAAATTGGATGTGCATCTTGCCCGCGGGGTCGGCCAAGCAAGTAGAGTCAAGTACGGAGCACCGACTGGTAGACCACGGAATCTTCCATTCATAATGTAATGTAAAGGTAGCATTTCGCAGTACCAGATAGGAGTCTCCCTACCTGCATTTGACGTTTGAAGTGAAAAGCACATCTTTTAGTCATTGTGTCGTCTTACGTGCCGGCAATTTCCTAAAACTTTAAACATTTTTTTATTTCATAATAAATCATAACTGGAAGACATGGAAATGCGTACGCTCAGATGAAGGAGAGGCAGTTCGTATACAAAACACGACAGGTACCGGCGGTACTTCGACGCGGTTCTACCGATGAACAGAGAGGCGTGGTACATTTTGTGATCGTTGAACGCACATGCATGTAATAGGTAATTATGGAATCCATAGATCGTCAGACAGACTCCCGGCGGCCCAGTTGTGGAAGTCTGAAGTGTGTGTGGGTGTCTGTGTTACATCATGGTTGGGGGTGCGTGACCCCATATACCTGTAGAACTACCCATACGAGCCCAAGGCCCAAGCTTATATTTTCCGGAAGGTTCCGATCCAAAGCCCTTCTGCAAGAGAATAGATGAGACGTTCGCTGCCACCGCAAGACAGTCCTTTCAATTGAATCTTCACGCTCCATGCTCCTCGCGCACATCCTTACTGCTGCTGTGTTAAACATCGATCCGCCGAATGGTACATCCTTAATGAGTTATGGCGCCAAGAATACACCGTTTAGAAGGCCCTGAGCCGTGTTATTACCGACGGCCGCGGAATTCGCGTGGAGGTCCAATGTGACATCCACGCTCAAATCGGTTCGTGTTCGCGTACAAGATACGATTATGACCGAGGCCCCACTCCTGGCGCTAGCCAGGTTCCTCTCGGAAGTCTGGGAGACCCGGCACGTTGCTCTAAGGCGCGTCGAGCTCAAGCGGACGAGGGAGGACGATGATGGTCCACCACGTAACCGATTTACCGTCCATGGGCCCCCACCCCGGCCTTTTACGGACAACCCCGCACTTGTATGCGGAACTTGTAACTTGATACGCATCCAACCTGTTAAGCTAGCTGCTGGGGCAGGGACATCTGGGGTTCCAGCCGTAGCTATGCAACAGGAATTGCAAGCGAGGCTCAGCTCCTCGGTTAGTTGGTTAGTTGGATAGTTAGTTGGATGCACTTCCGCAGCGGCGGGCGCGGCATTACGCGATGCCATTAGGAGGTAGTCCCTGCAGATGGAAGGCGCAGCATCACCCGAGCTGGCTGTCCGTTTGTCAGAAGGGCTAATAAAGACCTGATTCTTCCCCTAAAGGAGAACTTTGGTGTGTTCTTCTTCTTCGGGGAGACGAAAAAGAGACTTCGAAGAAAACGAAGGGAAGAAAACGAAGAAGAGACTTTGGGGATGACTTTTTCTGAATCAGGAACAGACCCGCCAGGGAGAACCAGCAGCACCAAAAAGAGGAAAGAGAACCTATGGCCATATATGATAAACGAAAGCAAACAAGCCATGGAAAATGCCGTAAGATTACAGTTGGCATATGCCAACTGAGATACCATAGAAGCTCGCGACAGCTGGCCAACATTTAGAAAGGGTGCGGGGAACGCCAGCTATCTTTCCTCTAACTAGGGGACGGCTAATTGGCTGAGGGACGCCGGTCCTAATTCTATCAACAAGCCTTCGGTTGTTGTTGTTGTTGTTTTGGAAGTAGTTCGTGGATTGCTTGTCCCTTTTATCGCTTAGGGTTCCCCTTTTTATAGGTCTGTAGATAAGGTTTTACATTTTTATCGCTTAAACTAGCTTTCGTCGCTTGCTAAGGATGGAGAGGATTGACAGGTTTTTAGCGTCCCTGACGCGAAAAAAGTTGGACGATTGCTCGTACTGCAATTAATTAAACTTGCTTTGACTGTTCGATGGGTGTGGTCCATTGTAGATATTACGACATTCAGTATCTCCAGTATCGACAATTCTTACTGCCGTACAAAGTCGAGGGTCGACATCCGACGTCCCGACTGTCTTCATACCCCCCCCCCCGGGAAGTCGTCTCCGTGGTCCTCTCTTTCCTTTATGCCAACGATGAGAAAATACGACATGCAAGACCGCTATATAATCTTTGAGACATACTTTTAATACTGATCAGTGCGACGCGTCGCTCCTTGTCGCTGTTGCCCGTACAAATTTTCGACCACAGTTCCTGCGAGAGGCTTCATCACGGCACGGCACCTAATGGTGGAGGCGGAGGCTATCCTCTTCGAACAGAGTCTCTGGGCCCCGAACAGCAACTGGGCACGTACATGAGCACATACATACATGCATATACACACAATTTGCGCACATACGTACTAGAATACACACGCGCACACGCGCATGAAAGGGATACATACCGAAATGGTATGTTCGGTGCCCCGCCCCCCGCCGCCGCCGCCCCAGTGCAGCACTGTCCAGTCGGTAGCGCAGCCCACATCCCACCAATCAATGACGAATTTGCCCTTGAAGGGGCCTTGAAAGACGTCCTCACGCAATCACCGCAAAGTACTCCCAAGCAAGCGAAGTATTGTACTACTACTACTACACCCACCATCACCCACCACCCACCACCCACCACCATACACACCTAGCTCCATGATATCGCCCCTCCTCCTCACTCCTCCACCTCCTCCACCTCCTCCACTCCTCCACCTCCTCCACTCCTCCACCTCCTCCACCTCCTCCACTCCTCCACCTCCTCCACCTCCTCCACTCCTCCACCTCCTCTACTTCTCCGCCTCCTCCTCACCGCCGCCGCCGCCGCCTACCAGCGGTCCGCCTCCGCACACACACACACTGGCAAGGGGCCGTAGCGGCCAGGGCCAGCTACTTTGCACAACGACACTAACAACAACAGCAACAGCCACAACATCAACCCTCACACCGACACGGCCCCGCAGCGCGAACACGCCTCCAAGGCAGCCGCCACATCTCCCCAAGCTTGCACCCAGACAGCCGCGCGAAGCGCTGGGCCGTCCACCCCGCCGCCGCCGCCGCCGCCGCCGCCGCCGCCGGCCCCTGGCGCCGGCTCCGAATCCCTGCGCAATTCCGATCTGTCGCTCCGAAACCAACGGATTGGCTGCGCCGTATCCCCCTGTGCACCGACCCCAGGGAGCTGGCACATGGCTTCCAACTCCTCAACCTCCGCGGCCCAAATCCAGCCAGACCGCAGCCGCCAGCTCCACGTCTCCGCCGTCGCCTGAGCTTCGGCGGCCCGCCGCGCGGCTCCACGATCGTCCAGGCCATCGTCGACGTACTCGTACTGCTTGTACGGCATGGTATTGCTGCCAGCTCGGACGCCGCCGCCGCCGCCGTCGGTTGGTGGTTGGGGTCTGGACTCACCCGACATGTACGACAGCGCGGCTGCGACTCCAGATCCGCTGTACGGCAGCGTACGTCCCGAGTGCACCGCCGTTTCCAGCTCCTCCGCAGATGCCGCCGTCGCGTGCATCGCACGCGCCCAGGCCGCCGCGGTGGCAGCCCCCCGAGCCAGCTCCTCTTGCACTTGCAGAGCATGATCGTACAGGTCCTCCAGGTCCATCAGGTGCTCGTCCAGCTGGCTCTCTAACTCGTGTACGGACTGCCGTACAACGGATTCCACCCCCGGCGCGCCGTTGAGCGAGCCATCATCCCCCCCGTTGCGGGCGCGCATAAGGCCCAGCTCCTCCCGTCCCTCCTCATTTCCGGAAGCCGAACCATACGATCCCAGTTCTGCCAACGTCGACATCACGTGTTCGTACTGCAGAATACCGTCGGCGGCCGTCGCCATATCGTCCGCCGCCGCAAGCGCCTCCGCCGCCACTACGTCAGCCGCCGCGGCCTGGCCCCGTAGCCTGTCCCGTAGCCGCCGCAAATGCTGCTCCTGCTGCTGCTGCTGCTGCTGCTGCTGCTGCTGCGCGGGCTGGCCACTTTCGGCCGAGCGTTGCTCGTCCGTGGCCGAGGTCAAGAAGTCCGCTCGACAGTCCGCCTCCGTATCCCGCAAGTGGCTCGCTAGACCGCCCGCCAGGGAGGCGCCTCGGAGCAGCGCCGCCGCCAGCCGCTGCGCCCGCTGCTGCAGCTCGTCCGCCAGCCGTAGCAACCTGCCGTACGAGTCCACGGCCCCCAGGCGAAGCTCCTCGAGCTCTGCCAGCTCTTTCTGTCGGGCTGTGGGCTGTAGCAGCTTACGCTGCAGCACGCTTTCCGATTGAAATTGGGGCAACAGCGGTGGGGAGGAGGAAGCCGCCGCCGGTGGACGCGACTGAAGCGGGAAGAGAAGGGGAGCAAATCCATGGACCAGAAGTTCGTACATCTCGACGGCGGCGTGGCGTGCCCGGTGCGCCGCCACCAGCAGTTTGGAAGCCGGTGACGTCGCCGCCGCCGCCGCCGGTGCTGGAGGTGCCGTCGCCGCCCAAGGCGACGCTACTGCCAACCCAACGTCGCCGCAGTGCCATGCCGTGCAGTTTATGGCGTGGTCTCGGAGGATCCTGATCAGCGTGCCGTACCGTGACAGCCCCGCCGCGTCCGGCCTGAACTCCGACAGTGGTAACGCCAAGCCACCGCCGCCGCCACCGCCGTGGCCGCTGAGCCCGGCGATACCGCCGCCAGCCCTGGCGCTAGGGTTTAGGTAGGCATTGTACGACAGAACGAGGCCTAGTACGAGCAGCACCTGCAACGCCGGCAGTGCACAACGCACCCCGCTCCGGGCGGTGGTTGCAACTGCTGCTGCAGCTGCTGCTTTGCTGCGGCACGCTGACGCCAGCGAGCGAGCGCCAGCCGGTGGCGTGTACGGCTGGAGTGGTTTCGGAGTTGCCCGTCGCTCCGAAACCTGTTTAGGTCCGGGCCTCGGCGGCCGTGCGGGCGTCCGTAGCTTCAGCTTCGTCCGTACTGCCGGCACCGAGTGCGGCTCAGGATGCTGCTGAGTTTGCATCGGCTCTCCAAGACTCTCCGCCGCCGCCGCCGCCGCCGCCGCCGCGTCTTCCTCCGCCTCAACAGCGCCCGCAGGCGCCTCCGCCAGTGTCGATGCCGCAGCGGTCCCAGCTTCCGCAGTCGCCGCCTCCGCAGGCGCATTGTACGGCGCGCGCCAACGTCCCAGGATACGGTTCCGGAGCGAGCTCCACCAGCCGCGCAACGCACCCTCCGCTTCCTGAGCAGTTTCTTCCTCCCTCCCGTGCCTTTCGGCAGTAGGAGGAGCCGCAGCGGGACTCGAACCTGGACCCGCTGATGGCTGCGGCGGCTGTGGCGGCTGTGGCAGCTGCAGCAGCTCATGAGCCATGTGGCTGGCTGCGGCGGCCGCCGCCGCCGTACCGCCCATCGAGCTTGCGGCTTTAGCATCCCAGCCAGGTGAAAACGACAAACACAGCGCCCCCGAGCCGCTCCGGAAGAATTGCTCCGAAACCTCCTCCATCGCTCCGGCCATCGCTCCTACTCTCACAGCGGCGGATTGCTGCCGACCCATGCCGACAAAATCGTCATGGACACTGCCGCATGTCTGTGTACTGCCGGTGTACGGCATGGTGTACGACATGCGCGCGGCACCTAACGCTGAGGGAGACGGCAGCTCTGTCCAGCTCTGGCTGCGGCGCGGTGACCTGGCCGAGCCCCGCCACGGCGTTAATTGCAACGACTGGAGTACGGCAGCGCTGGCGCCGCCGCCGACAACACCAATGCCCTGCGGCTCCGGGAGCGGCAACTGGGTTGCATGTACGGGCTGCGGTACGGCACCGGCCAGGATCTGAAACGGCGCCAAAGCCGTTGTACGGCTGTCGGGTATCGGCGAGGTAGGTGACATGAGGCCAGCCTGCACCGCCGCCGCCGGCGCGGGCGTCCTGGGTACCGCCGGTGGCGCTGCCACTGGGCACTCCGCCAGCCCTTTTCCTCCTGGTTCGCCCTCTCCACATCGCCTTCCCTCCGTCCCCTTTTGATCTTCAACCCCGGCCCTACAACGCTGCGGCGCTGTCGCTGTCGCCGTACCAATACCGCTGCCGCCACGGCCGCCGCTAGCGGCGGCGCTGGTAGCCATGGCGTCAATGGCAGCGCTGGCGCATAGCTCCACGTCCGCCGCCGCCCCGAAACGACCCACCATCACGGCCGTGTCTTTCTGGAATTCCAGCTCCAGGACGTGCCTCAGCCCCGTTCGTACTGCAGTTGTGGCCGTGCCGGAAGTTGAGGTTGTGGGCTCCAGGGAGCCCAGGGGCTGGTCGGGTGACATGCTGGTCTGCACGCCCATCGACAAGCTGCTGCGCCCCACTCCCGCCCACTCCGGGCCTGCACGGTGGGGGTTGGGGGGTGGGAGGAGAAGCATCGGGGGGCCCCATACGCACGAATTCAGCAGTGGCAGTGGCAGTGGCAGTGGCAGTGGCAGTGGCAGTGGCAGTGGCAGTGGCAGTGGCAGTGGCAGTGGCAGTGGCAGTGGCAGTGGCAGTGGCAGTGGCAGTGGCAGTGGCAGTGGCAGTAGCAAGGTCGGCACCTACTTACTGGCGATGTGGCCGTCCCCTACATCAGCCAAGGAGGAGTTGGGCTGGTCAATGAACGGGGAGTTGGGGGCGGGCAACATGGTACGGTACCGCGGCGTGGGGGGCTCCGAATCCTCATCTCGAGAGTACTCGTTGTCGTACTGGTGGTTGGGGATTGACACCGTGGCTGCACCGTCACCGTCACCGGCGATACTGCCGCCTCCGCATCCGACACCGCCTCCTGACCCACGGCTGCCACCGGAACAGCGACCCGTGTTGCTGTTGCTGTTGCTGTTGTTGTTGTTGTTGTTGTTGCTGCTCGTAGATATCCTGATGAATTTTATTATATTTACAAGGAAAAACAATTTCATTTTATTTTCAAGGAAAAACAATTTTATTTTATTTGCAAGGAAAAAGCAATGACATATAAATATACTATACTTTATTTATAATAAACTGGGTTAGAGAAGCGAGTCAGAGCGGGATGTCCCCAACCCCCCACACAATCACAACCCCAATCCCCCGGCTCGAGGTCACGGGCGTAATGCCAGGTAATGGTTTACTGGTTTGATCATGACCACGACCTGGACCTGCTGCAATTGAAAACCTTCAGAAAGAACATGCTCTTGCTCTACATGCTCTTGCAAAGGACGCCAGGAGGTAGACTGGTAACTGCTAATGCTTTTGAACACCTTGGCTTGCCGCGACCATGTAAACTATATATTTGAAACCCTAAGAAATTCAAACAGACATCTACCCCTCCAGACACAGACGCACACACATGCCCTTGATCCGTCCCTTGCAGAGCTCACCTCCGAAGCACCAAGCTAGAAGTCAGGTCAAGATCCAAAGCCGGCGTCGCGGCGGGCACCGCAGCGGTGGCGGCGCCGCTGCCGCTCCCAGCCGCCGCCGCCGCCTCCTCTCCCTCTTGGTGCCGCTGTGCACCTCCACGACTACCCGTACTGTACGAATCAAGGTCGAACATCAGCAAGTGCATGGGTGCCGGAAGCGCCACGTCCACGTCAGGGTCGAGAAGCGGTGCCGCCGCGGTGGCGGCGGCAGCGCCGCTAAAGACGTCCTCCGCCACGTCCTCCGCTGCAGGTCTAGCGTCAGACCCTGGCGGTGGCGGTGGCGGCGGCGCCGCTGTGATGCAATTGCGCAAAGCGTCGGCACAGTCGGCGCCTCTGCCGTGCGCTGCAGGTCTCGTACGATGACTCGAGGCCGCTGGCGGCTGCTCGGCGGCGGCGGCGGACATCCTGGCGGTCTGCCGTGATATCCCAGCGGTTGTTGACGACGACGCCACGACGTTGTCTACTCGACGTCCGCTGGTCCCGCGGCCCGCGGCTACCCATGGCGGAGCTTCTGTGCCAGTGTCGCCGCCGCCGCCGTGTACGACACCTGGCGCCAGTACGGAAGGCACTGCTTCGCCTGAGATCACACCTGGCGGTTGCTGTCGCCCAGGAAGCCGTAGCACCGGCTGCTGACGGGGCGGCGGAAGCGGCGGAGGCGGCGGCAGCTGCAGCGGCGCTGCCGCTATCGGCACTTCTTTGTTCAGATGGACGGCACCGGCGCCAGTAACAGACGCCGCTGCCGTCGAAGGCTCAACTGGAGGCTGCGGTCGAGCCGCGGGTTGTGGCGACGGCGTATCCGCAGCGGCGCCGCTGGCCGTCGGCGGCAGCGTCATCACTGCAGTGCGGCTATTGACCGGCGATGGCATCGGCGACGGCGGCGGCGGCGGTTGCTCAATGGAGGGCGCCGCCGCCGCCGCCACAGCTGCCGCTGCCTCCACCGCATCAACTGGAATGCCCACGACGATGTCGCCACCACCTCCCAACACTGGGAAGCCTACGACGGGTTCAGGCGCCGCCACCGCTGCCGCCGGCACCGCCGCCATGGTTCCCGCCGTGCCGTCCATGGCCGCCGGGTTCGCTTCGCCAGCCGCCGCCGTTGCGGATTCCGCTGTACGGCCTGAAGAAAGCAGCCCACCTCTGCGACCGCCGGCGCCGCCACCGCCCACAATCAGCCTTCGAAGGCCGCCCATGTAGCCCACCTCCGCCGCCTCCGCCGTCTCCGCCGCCTCCGTCGGGTCGTGGATCGTACGACGTAAAGACGGGATCCCGCTGGTGACGGCGAGAGGCTGACGGTACGGCACGTTGGAGGAGGTGGTGGCGGTGGCCGCCGCCGGCACCCCGGTCTCATCCGGCCACGGCCCAAACACGCCAAAGCCGGCAGCTGCCGTGGCGGCAGGCGACCCGCGCTTCGGGCCCGTGAACGCGGAGCCAGCGGAGTCACCATGAGATGGTAGATTGTCGTACATGCCGTACGAGCCTGCACGGTGCCTTTCATCAAAACTCGCACGGCCCAACTCGCACTGAGCGGAGCGGCGTGACGGCGGCAGCGGCGGCGTGGATCCGATGCCGTCCGCGGCGGCACGGCCGCCGCCGTCGTCACCGCCGCCGCCGCCGCCAGTCGGGACGGCCCCCGGGGTAACAGTGGTACCGCTGCTTTCCACGGGACCGCTGGGAGAAAGTACGACATGCTCGTCACATTTTTGGGCAGCGATGCTGCCCAGGATGGGATGGCTGGCTGTGACGGACAAAGCGGGTGCCGCCGCCCCCGGGAACCGGTCCACGGCTACGGCGGCGGCGGCGGCGGCGGCACGCCCTACCCTAGTTCGTCCAGTCGCGCCAACTGACGGCGATCTGTAGTCGCCATCGTCGTTAAACCGATGCGACGGCGGCGGAGGCGGCGTCGCCGCCGCCCAGCCAATCGTAGCCTCCGATCTGTAGCTGCCGTTCTGCTCGTCCATCCCGGACAGGTACGAACGTAAGCGGCTGTAGCGCGCTCCGGCGGTGGAGGCGCCGTCCGTGAGGTCGGTGACGTCGGACGTGTCCTCCGACATGGCGTCGTACGGTAACAAGATCGGGACTCTATGACCGTACGGACCAACGCCGTACGGCACGTACGGCGGTGGCTCGTCCGTGTCGTCGTCGCCGCTGTCGTCGTAGGTGCGCCGCGAGCTACCGCGACGGCGCCGTAACTGTTCCGGAGGTTTGTACTGCTCGTCGTCAAAGAACGAGACACTTTTACGAGCAGCGGCGCCGCCAGGAGGTGCTTGATGAGGCGCCGCGGGTGAGGGACGGGAGAGCCTGGAGAGAGACGCTGACGCGGTGGGACGCTGATCGGCGGCGACGCCGTGGGAGACGGTGGAGGCGACGGAACCGGTACGCAGGATGCCGCCGGCACGTCTGGTCGCCATACAGCCGCCGCCGCCGCTGAGGCTTGTTCGCGGCATGCGGCCGCCGCCGCCGCCGCCCTGTGCAGCCGCCGCCTCCCCTGCGCGGTACGGCGGACCTCCGATTGGCGAACCCGCTTCCCGCTGCTGCTCCTGCTGTAGCGGCGGCGGCGGCTGCTGCCGTGCTCTCCTGCTTGGCGCCGCGACGCCGCCGCTGCTTCCACCGCCGTCGCCTAGGACGCCTGTAGCATCCGCAGCGTCGCCAATACCGCCAGTGGCGGCGATGGGTGGGGTTGTCGGAGGCTGTAGCAGTTGCATGACCCCTCTTGAAGTGGCGCCCTTGGCGGAATGGTTGCCGCTACCACCGCCGACGACGACTGCGACGTTGCCGCCGCCAGCAGCGCCGCCATTAATGGGGGCGCGGTCACGGTACGGTGACGAGGTCCGCCGCCGGGAGACCTCGGAGTTTGCGAGGACGCCATCTCCCGCTGCGCCGTACAACGCACCCTGTTCCAGCTCCCTCCCTTGGCGCCATGGCGATGCGGCGGCGGCGGCGGCGGCGGCGGCGGCGCTATCGGCGGGAGTGTTGAGCACCGCGCCGCTGTGTGGTTTGCTGCCTTCATCGGCAGTAGTCGTGGAGGCAATACAAGGGTGTACTGGATATCGCGGCGGCGGCGGCGGCTGTTGCTGCTGCTGTAAGAGAGATGGTCCCGGCTCCGTCGGCATCGGCGGCGGCGGCGGCGGCGGCGGCGACCCCCCATGGCGGCCACCTGCTGTCGGCACCGACGCCGCCGCCACCGGCGGGCTGAACGGCACCATAAACGGGTGTTGCAGCGCATTCAGGTACGGCGGCGACGGCGGCCCGATTACTCCACGGCCGCCGCTGCCGCCGCCGCCGCCGCCGGCACCGCGCGCTTCTACCCGCTCTCCGCCCGCACCCTCTTTCCGGGCCAACACCACCGGCCCGAAATTGAACTCCTCCTCGCGCTCAAACTGCACCCCACTGTGCCGTTGTTGGTGGGGGTACTGGTGGCGCTGGAATGTACGGACACCCGGGCACGGATAAAGATGATTGGATCGCCGTACACCGCCACGTCCATCCAACAACCCGTCCTCCGCTTCATTATCATCGTCAGTATCGCCGTCACCGCCCTCGTCCCGCTCCCGCTCCCGCTGCTTGCGCCGCAGTCGGTCGGCAAACGCGGCGGCATCATGCCCGGGCAATATCTCCTCATGCTCCAGGAAGGGCCGTTCGTCGCCGCTGTCCACGGAGGGGGTACCTCCGTGC